TGGGTGATACTAAAGGATCAGGTATCGGTATCGGAAGAAAAAAAGTGGTATCGGTGCATCTCTAGTCACCTCTGCATGAATTAATTCAGGGGTATAATGTCAGATGTATGGGAGGCAAATCCAGCCAAAAAAGAAATGAAAATAAAACAATACAATGCAAATGAAAACCTCTTTTTGCCATTTTTTTTTCCAAATATCCTGCCAAAATTGAAAACGAAATGAAATACCTTCAATTGCAATTTCATCTTTCACATGAGCACGAGCCATTTGTGACAAAAATAAAAATAAATTTACAACAGCTCTTTGTCATTTCATTTTAGTCGTTATACTGGTATTTCATGGCCATATCTAAAATGAAAAAGTTTCATTGATGTTTCATTGATGTTCAGTTTCACCAGATCTGAGACATGACAATGTGTTTTCTCGAGACTTGAAGTCGTTTAGTTGAGGAATGATGCCGTTCTGACTCTGAGGTCTGAGGATGTCCTAAAATGTACCCCGTAGCCCGCCTAGTGCTAATGAATATATATTTGCATGTTGGTCAAAAAAGCAAAGTGTGAAATGAAAAGTAAATCTCCAGCAGGTGGCATCGATTTTCGTTTGCATTTGCCTTTTCATTCTGACACTTAAAGCGCGTCCACGCCGAAAACTGAATCACAAACTGTCACTTTGCTGTGGATTTGTCCATTTTGCATTCTCATTTTCATTTTGTCAGACATGCAGCCGATTGCTATGAAAAGAAATAAGAACGTAAACATTGCATTTTGATTTTAGTTTTCACACATATTCCACATTTCATGAAGAAAAGCCAAAGCGAAGTTTGGATTTTTTTTTTCTGTATTAGCTTTTCCATTTTAGATATGGCCATGAAATACCACTAAAATGAAATGACAAAGAGCTGTTTTAAGGATATTTGCACAGATATTTGGAAAAAGAAATGGCAAAAAGAGGTTTGCATTTACATTTTATTGCTTTAATTTTAATTTCTTTTTTGGCTGGATTTGCCTCCCATACAGATGATGTTTGCATAGCATAATATGGTAGAGGACTGTTTATCTCAACTCAGTTAACGCTAGCTCTAGCATAAAGACCCCACCTATCACCCAAAAGGTTAATCTAACGTAACTGTACATTAACTAAAGCACTTTACTCACTCAAAATATTTTTTTTTCAGGAGGAATATCTGTGTAGACTAAAGTTCAAAACTTGTTTGACTTTCAAAGAAAATCTTTATAATTACGTTTTTGTTCACTTTGACACTAATGCAGCTAAATGATGGGCACCTTCAATATCAGCCACCATCGGTCACTTCGGGTATTCCATAACTAGTATTAGTAAGTATTAGATAGTATTAGTATTGAATTATTAACTGTTATTGTGATAAATTACATCAAAACCTTTACTCCGTATGCATGACTCAAACTTTGCACATGCAGAACTCCAACATTATCAACGATACTTTACGGTATCAGGTGAGATTTTTTTGCGACAAGAAAAGTTAGATGCTATACTAAGGCGGAAGCCTACATTTTTTAAAAAGTATGCAATATGCAGAAGTGGCTAAAATTAGGGGACGACCAAATTTGGGGAAGTGACGTTGGCTAGGTCGGGAGGTAACCCCACTTACTGTTGTCACGTTACATTAGCTGCTCTTATTGAATATAAATGTACACACTGCGTCGTTAGAGTAGGTTAGTAAAAATGCAGCTGCTGGTTATTTCCGTTTTTTGGGCATTTTAGCAGGTAAGTTAACCTGTTGTTTCGTAAGCTAGCATAGCTAGCGTTAGCTAATTAACGCTTGTTATTATGCAGCGGGAGACCTGCAGGTGGCTACCGTACAGCATGACAGACAAACATTTAAAGTGAGAGACAATAAATTCAACGATGCTGAATTCCACAAAACGCACGTAATTCATTTCAGCAGGATATCTTACTTGTAAAATCCGTCTATCTTCATGTGAGGCTGGTGCAGCGCTAAAGTTGTATCATTCAAACTGAACACGCTACATTGCGCTGAAGAAACGTAACGCTGCTGGAGGAAAATTAGCTCGCACATGATTGGATACTGCATATAGCAAAGAGAATGCTGAAGATAAATTTGATTGGTTCAGATACTGTCAGTCAACGGTGAACTCCCACCCCTTCAACCGCCAGTCACTTTTGTTTGTATTTGAAATGCTGGCCTATTAAATTGAGATGCTGAAAATGTGAAGTAACTCTTTACTGGGGTTATTTTTAAGATGTAGAGCTTTATTAGTTGTTTTTTTTTAATATTGTTTTATTGAAAGTTGTATTGTTTAATACAGACAAAAAACAGAAAAATATTTTTGAGGGTATAGTAACAGCATTACAAAGCACACAATAGTAGTAAACCAATACGCTGGCATATGACAAGTGCTGAAATACATCAAAATAATTATATTGTGTAAAAACATCAACATGGAATGTAAGAATAAATTATGTGAAAATGGCAGTGTATTTATTCACTCCGGTTGCATGCAGTGTGACTGACATTTCCATTTAAACCCTTTTAAACTATACTGTTTTTTAAGAAAAAAAACCTTCCCATGGATTGTGCTGTTTGTTTTTCACAAGTTTTTGTGTATAAATACTGAATTATATGTCCCTTTTGAGAGTGCTTCTGAAGTTAGGCCTCACCAGCCTGCAACAGGGAGGCATATAATCAGAAAAAAAGAAGATGAAGAAAAAAAAAAACATTTTACTCAGAAAACCTTCAGTTTCCCAAAAGGAAAAAAAAGTTTTATATCATACAAGCAATGTTCAAGCAATTGTTGCCATTTTGCAACACCGTGCAATGAGGCAGTAAGTTTAATGACTCATAAACTGATTGCGATGATGACATTTTTATTTTAAGCGTTAGTGCATACAAAGTAATAGTGTTAAACAGAAAAAGAAACAGGTAAAGAATAGATTACATGAAGATTCAGGAAACAGAGACTTGACATTCAAATTTGACTTTTGTTCTCTTAGCAGTGACCTCATGGCTGGCTGGGGTTTGCTGCAGGACTAGAAGAAGGTAAAATGGCACATTAGCACATAAATACACTGGAGCTCTTTGAGGGGCTCATAGGGAAAGCCCTACCTACACCACTGGGAGTTTGAGGGGTTGAAAGGAGGGAAGATCACTTTATTATTCTATTATTCACTAGAGTCCCCCTCACTGGGCCTCCTGTACCTCTGAAGTGCAGGACGGAGCAGCTGGGACCAGGAGAGGGCCGACTTAATGATGTAAGCAGAAATACTAGGGGTGTAATAATTCTCAAATTCCATAAGGCAGTTGGATGCAATACCATGGTGTCTCAGTTCGATATTTTTTTCGATACAGCAAATGATAAATTTGTTACACCCCTAGTAACAAAAGTTATTGTTAATAATTGACATAAACAAGTATTCCACCAAAAAATGTAGTATGGTATCATTGCCAAGCAACCACTAACTGCTGAATAGTGCCTTATGTAGGAATTTAAATACTGGATCCTGCACCCCAACTGTGCAAAATACAGCTAAGAAATAGTCATTTGGGACACAGCCACAACCATGCTTGACAAATCATGCACTGTTTGGCTGTAGAGGCTAGAATTTCTAAACTATCATAGCTAGCAAAGCATGTAATCCATTCAAGTGACATTTTTCAGACTTTTTATATTGCTGTTTTACAGTGAATCATATCAGAATTCAAGCCAGTGATCTTAATGATGGAGTTGTTTAGACTGTTGGCTATCTTTTAGCCTTTTAGCTAGCTGACCAGCCTAGTTATAGTTAAGAACATAAGACACCAGCCCCTCAGTTTAAACAAAAAATGGGTTCTTACTTCATCAGTATACTCGTGGTCCATGTGAACAACATGAGAGTCAAAGATTATTCCATTAACTGCACAAGGTTTTTTTGTGCTGTGGCACATAATACACAATTCAGCTGTTGTGAGGCAGTCATAGGTGTGGGTATAACGTGGATTTTACAACAGCTTTGAATGCAGCTCAGCCAATCAGATTTTAGGACCAGAACGATCCGTTTCAAAAAAACCTTACTCTACATCTCAGATGTCCAGTTTTGGTGTTCCAGTGCATGTTTCCTTCTTTTTTGTCCATTTCATTTTCTCAATAACCCACCCTTTAAATTTAGCACTGAGTTGTCTTCTCACAGTGGAAGGATGGACAGAAACACCTGTGGATTTTTTCAGATCTGAAGCAAGAGTGGAGCTTGATCTTCTCCTCTCTCTCATAGATGAAAGCTTTAAGTACTGTTTATCTGATGGTGACAGTATTGGTGGTCTACCAGGTCTTGCAGAGCTGTTGGGAGTCCCATATTCTCTAAATCTTGTAATAATTTCATCATTTTTTTTGAAATCCTGTTTTGGTAACTCTTGCTTTTTCGCTTATTGCTCTTTGACATTCCCCTGCCTTATGCAAGTAGATTATCTAATCTTCTCAGAAATATCTCCTTTTAGCCATTTTAGATGAACATGAGAAAAGAATTTGGAAGGCAACTAAGGTGTGTTTGTGTAGTCGCTTGTGTGAATGCTAGCGTCTCTTTGAAGGGGAACTATGTCAGTGAGAGCTTTGGGAACTTTTTGTTGGGGCGACACAGCTGTAACTCGGTTTTAAAATTGGAGGAGTTAAATTGGCAGAAGGTGCACAAAGAGCAGATAAATTAAATACAGATTTGATATTACACTTAGTGTTTGAGGCTTTTGTGTAATTTTTTGTTAAATATATGTTACTTGCTTTTCTCCCTGACAATGAAACATGAATAAGTTGTACTTAACTGTACTTTGACAGTAAATTAATCCTTTAATGGGCAGGAGTTACTAATGGGTCCAGGCTTTCATTCCTCAGAATGAATGGCTCAGCCATGTTATATAACAAACTTATAACAAGGCTTCAAATGTAATAAGCCTGGTATTTAAGGGATTAAATAAACAAAAGGGTCATTACTTACTGTATGAGATAGAAATTAGTAAACACACAGGACACATGCAGTACTTTAAGAAAGCTTTCTTCTCATTTATTAGCTTCACTCCTGAACACTACCCAAAGTTAACATTTGGCACAAAGACTCTTTGTCTAATTTCCATACAACACCCACTGGGCAACAGAGCAGATCCTATGAACGAACATTTAAAATGTGCTAAAAGATCTGCACGTTCTGATCTTACTCATGTGAATAAAAAAGGAAAAAGAAAATCAACTTTCAAGGGTACAAATGATGATGATAAGGATGACAGTCCAGCAAACATGGCAAGGTTAAGTGAGACAGCACAACACTGAACTCCTCTACACTGCCAGGCACGACAGATATTAACAAGGCCCCTCATATGCAGGACAATTCAGGCTCGTTCTAAAGGCACAACATATTCTATACACACAGAACTCCACAACAGAGCGAAATGATAAGTTAGCAGCTTAAACATCATCGAATTTAAGTTTTACATGGCTTTTGATCTTGAGTGCAAATTATAAGCTTTGCATAATACTACTTTACATCAACAGGCCTAAAGGGTTAGTATCTCATATGCAGAGGTTGAACTGTGAATCTATGTTTTTCTCCCATTAGGTCTCTTTGGCAGTCCTTATGCAAAGCACAATGCAGGCAGGTTTGAACTGAAGTTACAATAAAACAAAATATTTTGATCTCTTAGCATTTTGTGCATGTGTACAGTTGGGTACTACACTGAACTTATGAAATTAGATGAATTATAATTTAAGACATTGACTTTGTGCAGCACATTTGATATTTCATTAAGCATGAAATCAGCACAGTGGCTCTCCACTACACCCAAATGTAATACACAGCTTATGAAGAGTCATAAACAGACGTAAAGCAACACAGCCTCAACAGCGTAAGGCAACAAGAGACAGAGCACACGTATAGACATTCATTTTGTTTTCTCCTATAAACTTTGGTCATTGGTCATTAGGACAATTAATTGTGGATTTGACGGTTCAATATAAGGGTCATTCTACCTTTGCAGTGGCAAATGGTGTCCCACAACTTTAAAGCCAAAGGAAAGTGAGATTTAAAATATCAATAAACCACAGAAAGTGTGTGTATTCTTTGTTCTTTTCCTAATTAAACCCAAAAACTATGATATTTCTTGTTTTGGATTTTTTATTTTTGTGAGATTTAGTCTGCATGAAAAACAGCATGTCACAGCAGTAGCTTGTAGCATGTATGTATTGAAAAAATGCATTGAATTATTGCCTGTCCTATGTAAAGTTAGTAAAGTTATATATATGCATATATACAGTGGTGCCTGAAAGTTTGTGAACCCTTTAGAATTTTTATATTTCTGCATCAAGTTTAAATTTGACCTAAAACTTTATTAGATAAACAAATGACCAAGTCTAATATGTTTTGTCTTATTTGTTTAATTTGGTTCTCTTTATCTGTTTTTTAGGAAATCTGAAGTTTTGGGTCAAATTTATGTAGAAATATAGAAAATTCTAAAAGGTTCACAAACCTTCAAGCACCACTGTATTTATAATACATATACATAACATATATACATATATATAAAGCTCAGATTTTAGTGGTGGTGTTACTTTAGTGAAATGATGTCCAAAATAACAGACAATGTTATACTTTGAATTACATATCAACATCTGTACACTGTTTGTGACTGCAAAGGTAGAACGACCCATAAATAAGATGAAAATAAAATTTCACTTCAGCAGGTACAAGGAGATAAAAAGTAAAATAAATAAAACTGAAATTACATAGGACAAGACTACATGTGCTGGCTAAAACAAAGGCAAAAATTAAGCTAAAAGAAAAAAATACAAACAAGACTACATTTGCAAAGGCAAAAACGCCAGCTTAGAGAAAAGTGAGGTATCTCAAAAGAGAAATTCGATCTTGTGCACAGCAAGCCTTTCTGATTAGAAGCACAGATACTGTAACCCCCCATGACTATCATTTTGAATTGTATGTCAGCTCATAACTACTCATGTGTTAAAGAGATCATACTGCCTTAATGATGCGTATCTACGGCCGTGGCGCCTGTGAGCGTGTATGTATATCCAGAGCTGATACATGCAGTGTTGACAGCATTATTGAGCCGGCTGGCATTGTGCCTGATATTAAATGAGACAGCAGAGACTTGGAGACCGGTCACGTGGAGCGCTGGTTCCTTTTGGTCTCCGTGCAGAGCTGGGAGAGAATGGGCTGCTTTTTCAGCCAAGGCTCCCTCAGAAAATGGAATTTGGACTCTAACAGGGAGGCTTGGCCGCACTGAATGCCCCTTAGTCTCTTGCTTTTGTTTTGTTTTTGGATGGACGGACCGAGTCGAAGAATAATGTTAAGCAGTTAAGCCACTGCCATTTAGCAATTGGACATCTTGCCAGATTTTCTTTAAGTATTTTTTTTTCTTTTGTAAGGTTTAGAGGGCAGGCTGGCTGTTAAATGAAAGCCTTGTTTAACAGACACACCCAAAGGGCCCTGGTCATGTGATCTAGACAGATATATTTTAGAAGTGCTAATATCTTGATGTGCATTTACATTGGAGTATATAAAACAGGGCATTTACTTCAAACAAAAAAAGAAAAAAAAAAAATATGAAAAGTGGAATGGTTTTCCCATGTAAGAGGAACTGCCCTGTCCATACAGTTTCCAAGACTGCATCCGCTGCCAGTTTTACTTATTATAGTCCAACCTACTGAGTTTTAACTTTCCTACACACCAATGCTGACCTTTTTTAAGTATGCAATATTGTTAAGGTGTAAAAAAACATAAATTGAGTGGGAAACACCTAAGGCTATCATGTGAGCCTATAGGAACGTGTCATGAAGGCCCTGAAAAAAGAGAGAAAGGAAGAAATACAGAGAAAGAAAGCTAAAAACTTCTACAGCTGTGTTGGTCCTCTGCTATGCGGCTCGCTGCTGGATGGTGGCGTCGTTACCAGGCTCCTCAGATACACACACGGGTTCCTCCTCCTCCCAGGAGGCACTGCACCAGATGGTGGAGGAGGCGGTGGCCTCAAGGATGGCATAAGAGGCTGCATTTCCTGCTGCTGCTGAGAAAGGGCACTCTCCTCCTCTTCTTCTTTGCCCCCAGGGAACTGGAACTGGCCTGGAACAGGAGGGGGTGGCGGTGGAGGCCGCGGAGGTCCGCTCAGCCTGTAGAGGGCGCTGACCCGCGGGTGCTGAGGCTCCTGAGGAACGGGAGGAGAGGCCAGACTCTCCAGGGAGGAGATGCTCTGGTTCCAGGCCTGCTGCAGGTCTATGGGGATAATCTTAGTGGCCTCTACAGACACGCATGGAGGCAGCGTACCAATACCACCCTTCCACGGGAGGTTCTTCTCTCCGCAAGTGGGAGATGGAGGGGCCACAGACGGGCTCTGACACACCTCCAAAGCAGCAGGGACTGTAGAGGAATAAACCATAAGAAACAGTATGGAAATTCTTTGTAGTAAATCAGTTAAAACATGTCTGGTGTCTGGAATTTGATTCTTTAGTTTTGCACTGGAACTACACACCTGCCTCAAACTATGTTGCTAATGAACAATCTAATTTATGCAAATATAGTCAGCTAGAACATTTTGGGTGTCCACATTTTGCTTCTTTAGTTTTAAACCTATGAAGCTAACGTTGCTAACAAACACTAGAAGTCAATAATCACCCAAACGTTTTTTTATAAATAGATTCCCCAAACTTCCCTCAATGCGCTCAAGCTGCATCCAGATCATCATTAAGGTCACACAGACTTGCTGATGTGGTTTCGGTCACAGTATGACTTACTAAGAACTACAAAAGTGAACAAGACTTTGCTACACTGGGGGCAGCCATTCTTCACAAGTCCTGTGAAGAATTCCGCCTCTTCTTCGCATGTACAATGTCACTTAACATGTCTGCCTGATCGTAATAAAGACCTGAATGCAGTCTGAGTGCATTGAGAGAAGTATTGCAAATGTATTTATGAAAAAGATTCAGATGGCTAGTGTTTGTTAGCCTTGTAGCTTCAGTGCTAAACTAAAGAAGCAAAATTCCAACATCAAACATGTCTTGGCTGAATGGCTAAATCTAAAGTGACCTATGGTCATAGAGTATTATGGTAAACTGGGAGTGTTGGTGCTGTCGTCCCGCTGCTCTCACACGTTCACTCAAGTTTGCTGACGGTGGAGTGGAGGGGCACCGACATCTCAGGGAGCCCTCATGTCTCTGTTACCTTCTGGTTTCTCCCTTTTAGTAAAAGGCTGTAATAACTAGACCTACCGGAGTCTCTGCTGCTCTGGTAATACTGTAATCTGTGATCAGTTACTCTTTACAGAACTAACTCTCTGTGTGTTCTCCTTTCTTTGCCGAGTTGAATAGCTGCCCATCCTGATGCTGTTGCTTCTTCTGCCTTGATCGGGTGCCTACTGCTTGCCAGCCTTCTGGACCGGCTTGACCACCATTGAGCTTCTTGCTGTACAACGCTGTGCAAACCTCACCCTCATGAACTGACCCTCCCGATGCTGCTGCTGCTGTTTAAACTAAAACTAATCTAATTAACCATTGCTCCGCCTGTTTTCCCCGCTTTGTACTATAATACTTTATACTAACGCTGTTTGCTATCTGGTGTCTCAAGGTTTCTTCCTCTTGCTCTTAGGGAGTCACTGGCGACGCTCATGGGGGCTTGGACCCGGATTTTTCTGTAAATCTGCTTTGTGACAACACCTGTTGTAAAAAGTGCTATATAAATAAACTTTGCTTGCTTGCTTGATCTCAAATAATCTCAACTGTTTCTTACACTGTACAGCAGGGAAGGGAAGCTCCAGTCCTGGGGGGCCAGATTGGTGTGCTGGAGCAGTGGAAATCACCAAACTATGCTAGACTGTATCTGTATCTCTGTCCATTTTTATAGATAACAGTATGCCATAGAGTCAGTCACGTGGAAGTGTATTTGAGCTTGGTGGGTATAAACTAGCATCAGTAGCTAGCAAACCTGAAGAAGCAAAATCTGGACAACAAACATTTATCCAGGTTTTGACAGAAACCAATCAAAAAAAGAAACAAAAGGCAAAGGTTTCTTGTCAGTAAGGAGAAAAATATCCTATCCATTGTGTCTGTTTCTATGCACTACATATCATCTTTTAAAAAAGATAGAGACGCTATGAGACTATATTGCTGTTTTCAGGCCTTCCTCCTTTACCTGATTTGGGTCTCTCCTTTGGTGTTTCTGAGGCTTTGCGGGCCACGAAGGTGATCCCAACATCCTCATCTTTGTCTGGCTCTGAACGCTCTCCCTTATTCTCCTCAGACACCAGTGGGACTACTACGGGGTCTGCAGACACATACATACAAACTGCATTACCTATAATGCACCCACTTTCTATATAATCTACACTTAGTTCCCCTGATTAAAGTTACATACGTTTGCTATTCCAGAGACTCAAATCCTGAGCTAAATTATACAACAGCAATAGAGCAATGACAAAATATAAAAGTACAAATTTACCACTTTTATCACCCCTATTAGATGTAAAACAATAATAAAGCTTTCCTGTAACTTTCCTATGGCTCACCTTTGTCTTGCCAGCTGACATTCCTCCTGGGTTTGTCATTGGCATCTTGCTCTTTGGCATCGGAGCCTTTGCGCTGTAAAAGTATGAAGTGTTTGTAAATGACACAACTGTGAATAGGCATCACAAAAGAAACAAAGGACAGATCCTTTTCAAAGCTATCAATAAATACACTGCAAGGATTATGGTAGGTTTTAAAATAAGATGTACAAATGGATTGTCTGTAATTTAAATGTAAAATGTTTCACATGCAAACTACTAAACTACTAAAGGTTCCAGCAAACACAGTGTAAAAATGATTTGTATGATACTATTATTGACTATTGTATTAATTATCTAGCAAAGTTTGAAAAAATTGTGATAGTAATATAATAAAAAACTGCTTAAATACTGATCAGACCTTAAAAACAGATCAGACCTTAAACTGTCTGGATGGACATAGTCCTAATGTTACACTGAGCACACTTAATTGACATCTCTCAGTCCAAGACTCCCAGCCTGCTACACCACTCATACAAAACTAAACACAATAGTGCAAGCAGGGAGAAATTCATAAAAGGAGCTCTATGTATACAGGTGGTGTTATAGACTACTCTGCTCTGTCAGTGGCTCGCTAAAAACTTTACCCAGCTTTTATGTGGTGACATCTTAAAGAAGGTAAGGTTCTTATTCACTTTATGTTCATCCAGGGTATGCTGGCATGGCCAGTCGGACAAACTGATGGAAGACACTCAAACATACAGCTCAGTTATGCTTGCTAGGTTAGCTTTCATTTGGTTGTTAGCTTCTGCTCACTAGGTTTATCCAGCTCAAACAGAGAGAACATGGGGGAACACAGTTCTGTGAAAGCTGTGTGGACAGGACAAGCCAAATCAGCCTTCTGACTGGTAAGGATAATGCTTATGCAAGCTTTACTTAAGATTAGGACCATCCAGTTTCTACCAAAAGGGGACAAATTTGACAAAACATACTGGCCATTTAGTGAACAGTAGATAGTTGTTCAAAAGACATACTTTGTACATGCATTTTGTGCACCCACAAGCAGTAGATTAATCTAATTTAGTCAGAAAACATGAATTTAGGTTCCCTGGGACCTAAATTTACCCCAGTGTGACGTGCATATTTTGCCCAGTGATCGACATATCTTCATGTCTTTCTCTCTTTCCTGTTTAGCCTTCACAGAGACATTCCATGTGACAGAGCCACATCAATCACTCTAAATGTGACACAAAGTCATATACAGATTTGTCACACACAAAGTGTCCTTGCTCAGTTGACACACACACACACACACACACACACACACACACCCTTCCCTCTTTAACACCAGCTCAGCCTGTGTCATGCCTGACTGAGGGACCTAAGCCATGTGTTCGTGGATTTGACCCTGGAGGTTAAGGGCAGAAGCAGATGGCTGAGGCGATGCTGAGCTCTTGCCTTTTTCTGGCTGCGGTCCTTCTTGTGCCTTTTGTAGTGAGTGGATTTGAAGGACTCCAGGCGGTTGCGCATGTTTCTCTGGAACACCTCCCGCTCCTGCCTCTCCTGATCCCCCACTGTCATAAAGTGCCGGCTGTAGTGTGACTGATACTGCAAGAGGAGATGGGGGGAGAGTGATTAAACTTGGTCTATGTTGTGCTAAGTACTAGGGAAGTAAATCTGTGGTCTCTGAGCTATTCAATTTGTTTCTTTAGGAAACACAATTATTTACAAAATGCATGAAAGATGATATTTACATTTGCAAATAGGCTAATGATTATTGTATTCACCAACTTAGTATATTGCTGTTGTCAGAACGAAACCTCGCATCTCCAAAATGGTAACATTCTATCAGAAGGAAAAAACACACTTCACTTCTAATGTAAGTCAATGGAACCAGACTTTTTCCAAGCAATTCTGGGCTGTTTCTTTTGGCCCATTCATTGTGAAATTTACAGACAATGTAAAGGGCAACAGGCATATTCAAATTATGTCAAAAACTGAAAAATGTTAAAAATGGAGATATGAGGTTTTGCTCCGACAGCAGCGATATTTGTCATTGAATATTAACTACAGAATCTGTGTAAAGGCCTATGTATGGTCCAATTTTTGCAGACAAAAAGGTTATTTTGAAAACAAGCACACATATATTAAAGCCATCTTTTACATTGAGTTCACAATACAATTTTTAATTGAATGTACAATTTTTAATTGAACCCAGCGCAGCCTACATGTAGTCATAATCATCCTGACCAATCAGAGCTCTATTGTTATGGTTGCAGTCCATGCAAGTGTACCATCAAAATAGTGGCACAACAGCTCATCTTGCTCATCTTGTTTAATATTCGCTACAAGGTGACTATGTGTGAAAATGTGATTAAAGAAAATATATGGTGGACTACATCTGAAAAGCTGGGGAATGATGATGAGTACCTTATTACACCGACCAGCCACACCATTAAGTGGATCTATCTTTCCTTTAGTGTGTTATATAGCTCTTTATGCATGTAAACAGTCTGCAAAGTTACAAAGCTCAAAGTACATGCCAGAGGTAGTAACTCTCTCCCATAGAACCCACAGCTGCCTGGAACACCTCATTGGAATTCCAGCCCTTTTCCTTTGTAACAACTTTGTAACGTAATCTCATAACACAATCCTTAGCCTTAGTTTGTTCAGTTTTGTAGTCATGTTGAGAAGATGCTGACCTGACTTTCAGGATCAGACTCTGGCTCAAACTAATACGGCAGAACTGACGCCATTGGAAAAATAGCTACAACGGTGTGTACAGCCGCTCAGGAGAGAAGGGTCTGTCTGCAGACTGCAGGACGGGCAGAACATGCAGGGGTGGTTGATCAATCAGAACCGAGTGGGTGAGCTGACCTATCAGAGTACACTGGGCTCATCTCTAAGGGAGGTGGGGCTTAAAGACACAGGAGCTCTAACAGAGTGTTTCAGACGGAGGGAGAATAGAGATATACAGTAGAAATGTGCCATCAAATATCAACTCTAAACATCTGTCTGATGCAGACCTTTCAAATATTGATAAGACTCTGACATCACCGGGCTCTAAGTTTTTTCTTAATTAGTTCTTGAGAAAGGTCATAAGAAAAAGTTTACATCAGCTTCCTGATGTGTTGTTAAGCCGCAGAACTGTCTGCGCCTTTGTGCTTTTGAGCGTGTGTAGATTCTGTTCTTACCTAAGAACAAATCCCAAATAAGAAAACATTGGTGAATGTCAGAGTCTTCATGAAAACTGCATAAGTGGGTTTTAAGAAGAAATTTCTCCTGAAGAAGTTGGTGAATGAGGCCCATTGTGTATCCCTATTTGTGTGTGTCTGTGTGTGTACCCGTCTCCTAGGCTTGTAGAGGTTTCCAGCCAGCACGTGATGTGTCTCTGTCTCCTCCTCTACCTTTGCACCAGGGTTTGTGTCAATCACCTGAAGGTCCAGACACACCCCGCTGCCGTTCTCCCTTCTGTAAACACAACAAATCAATGAGGTCATTGCTTATAAACAGACGACAACCTACAGTAAATGTTGCAGACAGTTTATTTACTATCCCATCCTACAAACTCTAAAGCATATGGACACATATAAACACATTGAGTTTGTACTTACAGGTAGTTGGTAACATTGGTCGCCTCAGGGAAGGATGTTCTACTGGCCATAGAGGGCAGCGAGAGTCTAGCAGAAGTCAAAATGTTCCCACCCTGACAGACAGAGAGGAGGTAAGAAGTCACTGGCTATTTTTCATAGTGAGTGAATGCATGTTTGTGTGTGTGTGTGTGTGTGTGTGTGTGTGTGTGTGTACAGACATGCGCTTGCATGTGGCCTCCATTTAGAGTTCAAGGCTCTCAAGCCTATTCATTGTCCTTTGTAGAACTGGACTGATCTCTGTGATAATGGACCTCTCAGGCAGGCAGTAATATGGGACCTGCGTCTGCACCTTACTCATTACGAACATACACACACTCAGTTCTGGCATATGGCTGGGTAATCACTCTCGACATGGCTAATCATGGTGGTTTAAACCACTGCATATGTCTGTACTGTCTCTCGGCACTCTGCGGTCCGCAGAAATGAAACAAATTCAGAAAGCAGAAATGAAAACATCTCAGATAACAATGTCAAACAGACCAAGAACCAGTGATATTGAAGCAGAAGAAAATGCTTGCTGTAAGGCATAAATGAGTCCTACATGAGCAAACATACTAATTACATTAATCCGGTGGAAACATACATAAAGAACACATTCTTTATGATACTTCAACATGCTTTAAGAAACTGCAAGTGTAGACAGAGACTTTCCAAAAAAATGTTCAACAACAATTTTCACCAAAACCCATTAAATCCTTCCTACTTGGTCACAGAAAACATTTTGAATTCTGTTTTCTCTCTCATTCTGTGGGTGGTCAGGGAGAAAGAGGACCATCCATGTTTCTAATATTAAACTGAACAACTCCACTCAGGAAGCTGAGTGCGATGAAACTCAAGGCTAGAGGAAATGACATTCTTCAACCTCTTAAGCGCTGGGCGATAATTTCAGTGGATGCACCCGCAGAATGTTCCAGAAACCTGTTAGCCTGAGTTTGCGGTACTGTGTTTCATTTGATACATACATTATATGGCTAAAAGTATGTAGACACCTGACCATCACACCAATATGAGCTTGTTGGACATCCAAAAACCATGGCCATTAATATGAAGTTGCCCCCCAGTTTGCGACTATAATAGCCTCCACTCTTTTGGGAAGCCTTTCCACAAGATTTTGGAGTGTGTCTGTGGGAATTTGTACCCATTCAGTCAAAAGAGCATTTGTGACGGCAGGCACTGATGCTGGACAAGAAGGCCAGGCTTATAATCAAGGTTCCAGTTCATCCCAAAGGTGTTCAGTGGGGTTGAGGTCAGGCCTCTGTGCGGCCTCTGGAATTCCTACACAGCTATCTTCGAGTCCATCATCCACAACCATCTGGTTTGCTTCCTTCACCTAACAATAATGACCCAAACCCTAGTGCATAATCAGGACAGCGGAGAGGATCACTCGATGTAGTCTGCCAATGCTTCAGGACATCAACAACAGCAAGGTGATGAAGTGTGCTGGCAGCAGACCCTCTCGTCTTGGACGTCAACTCTTTCTGCCACTTCTCTCTGGTAGAAGATTCAGAGCCAGCACAACCAGACATGCTAACAGCTTTTTTTTTTTTCCTTCTTTCTTTTTTCTCTATATACATCTCTTGAACTCAGCTAACATTGGCTGTTTGTTTATTATTATTATTCATTCTATATTCTATTTATTGTATTTTATTTTTAGTTTAATACTTGTTAATAGACTAGTCTGTTTAGTTACATGTTTAATTCCCTGACCGGATGACCATGTGTGTACTCAACAAGACAAATTTCTTATGTGTGTAACATACTTTGCGAAACAGTAAATCACAGAAAAGTGATTCTGATTCAGATTTCTTCTGATTCTGTCCTCTCTGTGTGTTCCTCCCACAGTCCAAAGACATGCAGTCAGATGAATTGGAGACACTAAATTGGCCCTAGGTGTGAGTGTGTGTGACTGTGTACATCTGTGTGTCTGCACTGTGATGGACTGGCGACCTCTCCAGAGTGTTTCCTGCCTTCCACCCAATGAGCACTGGGATGGGCTCCAGCACCCCCCGCCACCCAAGAGGATAAGCGGTTTAGAAAATGTATGTATGTGTGTGACCTGTGGAGATTCAACAAAGGAGATCTCGTGGTGAACAGAGAGGAAAGAGGGAAAAACAGATCACTCACAACCATCAACCTAGCTCAGCAAAAACACAAAGTTCATCAACCGTTCATTAAAACACAGACAGTGCAGTTTACATTAGAGAGATCAAATGTTTATTAAAAAAGGTATCAGGTAAAAGAGATTGTCCAACTGTCTGAATATGAGTCCTGCCTTCTCTCTCTGTCTCATGAGTCTCCTGATGTAATTCAGTCCTCTCAGGGGATTAATACAAATCTGAATACCAGCATTCACACTGATTATCACCCTTCTGGGGCCTCAACCACTCACTCCTTCTCTCTCCCTCTCTCTCTCTCTCTCCCTCTCTCTGATGTCAGTGTGGTTGATCAGTATCTTTGGTGTGGCTGCGTTCAGGTAGCAGAGGCTTGCAGTGAGCCAGAGCTGGCAGAGACACTTCGGCGTCAGTGCGGACAACAAAGAAGGGGATTATCCTCTCTTTTATGAAGCCAGAAAGAGAGAGAGAGAGATCTCAGAGTCTCTGTTCTTCTCTTTAGAGCATGAGAGAGAGAACAGGTTCGCAGAGCCTGCTTTTGCTCCTCAAGAGAGCCAGAAAGACCAAAGAGATCTAAGTACCTGTAATTTCTCCTGTCTATGAAGCCCAAAAGCGAATGCTCAGAAGTTCCTCTACACAGACATAGAGAGAACAGGGCATCCTCTCCAGAACAAGAGCCACTTAGAGCTTCACATTCTCCTTTTTCTTGGCTCAAAGTATTTTTGTTGGAGTTAACATATTAGAAAGACACTAGTCTAGACATTACCAATTCACACAGAACACATGGCAAATGACATTCTGCTCTATTCCTAAAGCCTTCCTGAGTGAGGCAGCCTCTAGGAGAATATTGCACTTGCATATTAATCCAGAGTTTCACAAGCCATGTTAAAAAGGAGAAGGGTGAGACCAGTAACTTGAACAGACACTGGCAGAGCAGAGAGGACTGCACCTGATTTACTGAGGTGCAGCACCACCCAGTGGTCACAACCCAATGTGCAATTTTCCACATCAGTGTGCAAGTCATCATTATGAAGTCAACAGCAGAATTGCTGCCATAAGCTTTAAACAAGCACAAACACAAGTCAACAAACACAAAAAACAAATAAGCAATCACACAAACAAACAAAGTTAACAAATAACAAGTCAAACAAACCCCAAACTATTAACCTTAAACTTCCCCTGGACAGGCTTTGCACCAGAACACTTCACAAGATTCATGCATATAATTTCAGTCATATCTGGGACAAAACAGCATCCTTTTCTAATGAAAAAGACTGATAGAATCTTTACCTGATCAATAACACTAATGGCATCTCTGATGTTGATTTTCTGATAGGCCTCCCAGAGTTCGCTTTTGTGATATACAGATTTTCGCAACAGCAGCTTACTCAGATAGTTTTTGTCAAACTGCTCCCACCTGCAGAAAATACATGACAAACAAATTCAGAACAGCTATGATCACGACTACACAGGTAAACAGCCTTTTTGTGACATGAATGTGTAACATATTCACATACACACACACACACACACACACACACACACACACACACACAGTTGCAAAAGTTTGAATACTCCTTAACACGAAAATAAGCACATACGCAGTTAATTTCCTGGTAGCTAAAGAGCAAAGTTTGGTCCCACAGTTTTCCTTGAAGCGCCCAGTCATCACATGGATTCCATCATTAGCACACCTAATTTAATTTAATGGAGCACTGATTACAGAAAAAACAGCTAGTAGATGACTACAAATAACACTGGCATTCCTCGTGGAGAGGTCTGGAAATGGTTAAATGAACATACTGACACATAAAATCACTACTTGTTGTATTAACGTTATTCGTATGTATTCGAGTATTAATGTTTTTCTGACCAAATACACTCTGACTTTTAACACTACTTTTCTCAGGTACCTAAAACACTTGCCCACATATAATCTGAGGCATGTATTATGTTACAAATTTGGACTGACGAAGAACTTCATCAAGGCTGAACTTGTGTATCTGGTGAATACATTTCCTAAGATAGGTGATGCTGAGATCATATAAGGGATTAATGTACGTTCTCAAATTCAATCTCAAACTAAAACTTAGTTTCAATCTAAAACTTTTTGGTGACTTTTTTTGTTATTCATTCAAGCTCACCTATTCTTCAAGAGAGAAATTTGTTTAAACATAACTGAACACAACCTATTTAAAATACATTCAGAGTATGAAAAGTCTTATTAAAGTGAAACTGACTTGTCCCTCCAGTGATGGTATCCATTCAGACCAGCAATGTCTTCAATTGCAGCCAGAATATGGTCAAAGGCCTGAGTGAGAGAGAGAAAGAGGTAGTCCAGTAATTAAAGCTGTGATGCCTTTGCTTTTGTGTTTGTCCAAGCCTAAACTCTTATAAAAGAAAATGGTTCTATATAGAACCATGAACACTCAAAGAACGCTTTGCATGATTAAAGGGTTCTTTGCATCATAAAAAGGGTTCTTCAGATAGAGAATGTGCTGTAGATTGTTCTGCATAGAATAATTTTGAAAAACAAGCTTGACATTGTAACAATAGAAGAGCCCTTTTGGTACTATATAGAACCCTTTTCAAAAAGGTTCTAGATAGAGCCATATATAACACATTCTCCATCAATCTGAAGAACGCTTTTGAGATGCAAAGAACCCTTCAATCATGCAAAGGGTTCTTTGAGTGTTCATGGTTCTATATAGAACCATTTTCTTTACTAAAGAACCCTTGAAGAACCATCTTTTTTAAGAGTGTTGAGAATCTACAGTCTCTTCTCACTATTGATCTGAAACAGCTTTAGAGCGTCATAGTAACTTAGCGGTTTAGTCAGGTGTGAAGTCTCTATGTCTCTCTAACCACTGAAGCCTCTCTGTTCTCTGTTCATTGGTGCAGTGATGCTGAAGCCCGCTCTATCTTTAGCTGTGGTTCCAGCATGCTCAGCAGGTCTCTCTAAGCTCACACACAGGAGGATGCATGACATTCAGAGTGAGAGTGGAGGACGCAGGGCCAGCAGGGGCTTTGAGACCCCCTCCTCTGTATTTCCTACGGGACTGTCACTAGGGAGAGAAAACGGTGTCTGTCTCTCTCTGGGAATGTGTTTTGTGTGTGTGTGTGTGTGTGTGTGTGTGTGTGTGTGTGTGAGGGATAGCAGGGGGCACTCTGGCCAAAAAGAACTCTGATGATTAATTCATTGGACAGAAAGTCTAACATCAGTCCTGCACAGCTCACCTTTAACTGCAGGTGCTGGTGCTTCCACCACAGATAAGAAACAGATATCAACAACAAGGTCAAACTTACTGAGAGAGAGAGAGATAAAGAAAGAATAAGAGACAGACAGAGAATAAGAGAGAGAGAGAGAGAGAGAGGAGAGAGAGAGAGAGAGAGAGAGAGAGAGAAAGAGAGAGAGAGAGAGAGAGAGAGAGAGACAGAGGCAGAGGCAGAGAGAGAGAAAAAGAGAGAGAAATGGGTATACAGAGACAGGTAGAAAACAGACTGATAGAAAAAGAGAGAGTGAGGGAGAGAGAAAGAGAAACTACGACAGAGGCAGACAGAGAGAGGCAGAAAGAGAGAGAGACAGAAAGATAGACACAGAGAGAAAGAGAGAGAGACAGGCAGTTAGGAAGAGTGACAGTGTCACAGAAATTGATAGAGAGAGAGACAGACATGCAGAGAAACAGAAAGACAGACAGTCAGACAGAGACAGATAGAAAGAGCATAATATAAAAGTAAATAAATAAATAAACTTTGACTTGAAAGAGCAACACAAACAGACAGACTGACAGAGGGAGAAACAGACATACAGAGATGCAGAAAAACAGACAGAGAGAGAGAGAGACAGAGATAGACAGGCAGACAGAAAACACAAGACAGACAGACATCAGTGCTGCATGTATTGACTTACACGCTCGTGGATCTCCTCATTAATGGTGGGTTTTCTGTTGGTGCTGCGAGGAACCTTTAACCATTTCACCAGAGGCTTGATGGTCAGGCCCTGTGAGACAGAGATGGAAAATCACTCACACAATCAATCCTGACATTTTACTGTGGCACAACAAAATCTGTAAAATCCAGACAATTAATCCTCAATTAAATTAAACACGTCCACGTTTACTTTCACTCAGTCTGTTTGCTCATTTTTTTCTCTGAAGGTCAGAAAATTTACAGAAATTACATCTCTTCATGCTCAGATGGCTCTGCTGCATGAAACCTACCAGGCAATCCTTCGCAAGAAAAGCTGCAATGAATGAAAGCTAGCTAGCATTAGCAAACCAAATCATGCTTTTACCAGTTTTCAAGATGGCTAGATGGCTGCACGATCAATCGTCTTTGTATCATAATGGCGATACAAGTAATGGCGATTTCATGGTAAACACATCTTTAAGAGTTGTGATGACAGAACAAATTGCCTCATACACTCAGTATCAGAGAGATGTTTTTACATTGTCGGCACAAACAGTTAGAAGCCTAATGAGTGCATCTCTGCGCTGGGATTGAACCCTGCGCTCCCATGTGGGGAAATGAGCAACCCCTCATCCTGAACTACAAGCTGCAAGAACGCATCAAACATTAGGATCATTCTCACATCTAGTATTGTGTAAGTGTAACAAACATATTTAATAACTAAAAAAATAAATAAACAAAAGTTATTATCTCTTCTTGCATGTCCATATAATATATTTAGCCTTTATAGTAAAAGCTGTTGCAATAACCCTAACCCAGGATTGTCACCGGCTATGCAAGATAACGCTGGGAGTATGCACGGGTACTCGAGTATTCGGTTCAAGATGCCAGTATTCTGATACAAAAATCACTGTTTGGCTGTTCATTTTATCAGGGAAAGACGGAGAAAATATATTCAGACCAACAATTCAGTGAAACACTAACTGATTTTATGTTTTAACGGTGCTCTAAAATATGTGCGCAAGTCTGCTACTACAAAACACGAGTGTCTTAACGTAAGACTGCTGCCAAGGACATGTTGTTACAGACGTGACTAGGAGAGTGAGGCGAGGTATGGCACAGCCTTTAGGCTAAGTAGTATAACTAACTTACTGTAGGTGATGGTAGCTAGGTGCAGAAATAGTGAAAACATTTTCGTCTGACAAACTAACATGTTGGCACATCATCTACCTATAAAAAGACAACAAGTTCTTATCAGCATCCATGTTGTGCCGGTCAGCTCTGGTAGATGAAGCCTCCATCACTCACCCAACACGAAAACCTACTGATTTCCCTCAGCTATTTTAAAATATGTCCAGAGAATTTGTTGAGAGGAGAACTGTTGTGTTCCGGATTTGTCAAATGCTAGAGGGCGCTCCCGAGCGAGTGGAAGATGAGTGGGTTAGCAAAAAGACTGTTGGACTCCTGAACACTATAGCCAACTGTAGCTTTGAGTCCAACAGAGCACAGATGCCTCTCTGGGTGGTTTGGAAAGCCCTTCCTCTCCCCGTCACCCAGCACAATGCTAGCCAGCACAGGTATCTGTTAGCTGACGTGACAGAACTGGAAGTTAGTGTTCTCCTTTGAGTGTGTACAGCTGTCAAATGATGCTGCGTTAGCGGCAGTTTGAAAAGATGCAGCGGCTGGCTTTCAATGACTCAAAGGAAGTTTGTGTTTGTGTCTGCAATATATCTGGTACCATGTGATTGGTGGAGTCCTAAGTAGTGGGTGGTCGCCCGTTGCGTCTGATTACAGCTGGGTGATATGGCCAAAAATTTTATCACGATAAAAAATTTCATATCAATCGATATTGATATTTATCATGATAAATGTCAAATCATTATGAGTTTATAGGCTGATTTTCACTCCTGAGTGCAAGCTAAATAAACCAGAGGGTTAATTGTGGTTTTAAACTATTCTTTATGATCAAAACATAACAAACACTTGCCAAACAGAGGAACATTTGACAAATCTGTCATGGCACAGTTGGAGAAAGCTAGTTTCCAAGCTATTTTTTACCAGATGGTTAAAGCAGCACAGCCGCAATTTTTGTAATATTCATAATTTAAAAGAAAAACAGATTATTTTTAGCTGTCTGGAGACGAGTGCTAAGGTATCTGGATACCCTAAACTATTTAGTTTCTCAACAACATCAGCTTAGTATGAACAACAAACATTAGCTGGCTTGGTGATGGATCACACCACCTTACTCGTATCACTCATAGTATTCAAACACAAGCTAGCAGACATATGGAGTTATGTATCCTGTCATAGTAGTTTGAGGGGTGGAAGAACTGCAATATATCTGACACACTGTGTAAAAAACGGACCTCAGTGGCATTAACTGCAGTGTGATGCTGGCTACCCACATAGGTACTGCCTCTTAAAACTGTAAAACACTGGCCATTGTTTCCCACACATACACTTTATTTATATTTTAATGACCAACGAAGTATATGGCGACCCATTTTAGTCCCCACTCATTCCCTCACTGAATCATGTTGAAAAAGCCCTCTCATGGCGACAACAGAGTAGTGTTGCCTTTCTTGCAGAGGAAAATGCCACCAGGGCTGTCCCTAGAATGTGGAGGTATAAGGAGAGGTCTATTATATAGATATGTTTCTAATATTTATATCGAGGAAAGTTATATCGTAATAATTATTAATTATTGTTTTATTGCCCAGCCATGTCTAACAAACCCGAAAGATTAACGAGAGGCTGGTCTCCTCACTACAAATTCTCTGGTACACATAAGTCACAGTGGTGCACATGCATGGTGCAAATCAGGCAGAGGACACGGATTGGGTAGCGACAAATCAGCATGATTTAACGTGTTTATCTGCACACTCTTACACTGGTTCTATCGCCTAAAAAGGTAAGCCTAAGCTCTACGTTAATGTCGACTGAGGTCCTTTTTTTCTAGTTTTTTCCTTCCGTATGTTAATCGATTATCTGTTCTTTAATCCTTCCAGGTAACTGAACATCAAAATTCAACAAAAAAGTCATACCTAGATAATACTGGAATAATGTTGTTATAGGCAGGTAATTGCTTTAAAAGTAATTATTGGCATCAGACAGATGTTAGGATTTGATGGTGTATTTAGTGTATTCCGGAAGAGCAGAACATCTGGGTAACAATGGGCTGCTGCGCTAAAGTGTCTGCATTTTGATCATTTTTTGCTTTTGTAACCCTATAGAAATAGATGTTAGATTTCTCAGTAATGCAAATCCAAGTAGTCCCAATTTCTACATTTTATAAATGTTCATGTATCAGAATCAGCAGATATATACAGGAATAATATCAGATATATTGATATATCCCTAATTCTCACATTTGGCCTTGTGAACCCTAAACCTCTACATGCAGGGCTACACTTCAATTCTTCACACTAGTAACAAAGTAACTTACACAAAAGTTCACAGTAGTTACCGAATCATTTACAGTAGTTGCTTAATAATATACATCTTAAGAACATAACAATGCGCTGAGTTTAAGGGTTTAAGTTAAATGGCATCACATCATGTTCCTCTCTTGCCACTGAGTTGTGTCTGGCACACAGTGCATCTGAATAGCAGTCCTGAAGTCCTGCTTGATACAGTGATACGAGACAGTGATTGCACTGTTGACTGTCAGATATTTATGTGTCGGTTGTCCAAGGTGGTGAACGGCCTCAGGCGATAATAGGCTGTTGTTGCAGTTTGACAGGTGAGTGTGATGGTGTTTGGTTTGCCGATTCACTTCGCCTACTGGAAAAGCACAGAATGCGTTTCTTACTGACATTCAGTTTTGCTCAGTGAGACGTGGGACCAGAATAAGAAGCTTACTGCCACGGGACTGACAGCTAGTGAGAGACATGAGCATATGTGCGTGTACCGGATAGAGAAATATTTTTGTGTTGAGTGATACAAACACAAATATATATGCATGAATTTCATTAATGAATAATAAATGTACATTCATTATTGTGCAGGCCAGAGCTGCACAATAATGAATGTATATTTATTATATTTATTACACAGATACACTGACATGCAGTACTATGCAAAAGTCAGAGACCACCCTGCGTTTATTTAATATACAGTCAAATCGGTGAATAAGTACAAGTTATTAATTTAACAACATCAGGAAAAAAATGGAAAGCATATTTAACAGAAAACGAAACAGAAGCCTAAACAACTAAATATAATTTCACAATTTCAGTATTAAGTGTGTCAATCTTTTGCCGTTACTACAGCGTCCATTCTATCTAAAGTTCAGTCTTAGAAGTTGGTTGGATTTTCTGCTTCTCACAGTCCAAGTAATCCCAAACTCATATAATGATGTTGAGGTCTGGGCTCTGGGGTGGTCACTTTATCATTCTGAGAACACCAGCAGCTTCTTTGTGTGATTTGCAAAGTTTTTTCTTTTTTGTCTTTCTTTTTCTCAATAAGGGCTTCTTGACAGCTACACATCCTTTCAGACTCATAGTGTTGAGTGGTGTTGTCTTCTCACAACGGAAGGATGGACAGAAACACTTGTGGATTTTTTTCCGATCTGAAGCAAGAGTGGAGCTTGATTTTCTCCTCTCTCTCAAAGATGAAAGCTTTAAGTACTGTTTATCTGATGGGGTCAGTTTTTCTATTGTCTATATTTCTTATATAGTCTTTTCCCTTTATTTTAATTTTTGGAACTTTTGGAAAACTTCTGTTTATTCATTTATTTTCCTTTGACTTTCCTCTGTCTTTTGCTAGCGGATTGTCTAATCTCTCCTCAGAAATATCTCCTGAAAATGAATAACTGTGTGTTTTGATTTGAAATGAAGGTCTATGACTTTTGCACAGTACTGCATGCACACAAAAAAGGATGCAAAAGGACAGAATTAGACTGGGGAATATGGGCACATCAGACACTAGCATTTGCCAGAAGTATCTCTCTCTCTCACACACACACACACAAACACACACACACACAGACATATGCACAAAACATCTCCATAAATCCCTCCATTCATCATAATTATCTCAGAACGACAGTGGATATCATGACAATTTAACACTGCACAGTGGAATTATCAGTGCTACAAGGCAATTACCCACATTCATGCACACTCTCATACATATACACTACTCTGTAAATCAGCTACGTGACTAAGAACAAGACAGGCGCACATGTTTTTTCGGCTTGGTTAAAACAGGCACGTAACAGGTCATGCAAATATGTTGCATACAGATTCCCTGTTCCAAATACCGAATCTATAAAATGTGTGAAATGACTTACCTGAAACATCACTGTGAAGAAAACCACAACTATGGTGGTCGCAACAAAGTAATCCTTTGCCTTAACCTGCTCTCCATCCAGCAAGACTACCAGGGCAAACGCTACTGCCCCTCTCAGGCCACCATACGACATCACCACCTGGTCAATCTTTTCCAGAGGAACCAACCTGAACTTATTCAGAATCCAGGTCTGCCCAACTACACCTGCAAGAGCACAGAAGTAATATTTAGATCAAATACTCAACACTCAAATACTCAAATAACAGCAAAGCCCCAAAACAAGCCATAACTTTAATTTCTGTCACTGACATATTTGATAAAAGAGATGTTTGTATAAATTGTCACTATTGCGCAGAAATCTTGTATCTCCTTTTTTGTCATTTTTGATATTTTGCATAATTTGAAAACTGAAGCTACCCATTTACCCCAGTCGGTTAAATTTTCATGATGGAGAGACCAATAGAAATGGTCTAAAATTACTTGGAAAAAATATTGTTCCACTGACTACCATTATGAGCTAAGAATGTTTTTCTTCTCTTGTAAAGTCTCCATTTTGGAGTCTTTTACCAAAAAGATTTGCATTTTCTTAGCCTTTTGTCAACAATGACAATAAATTCTTCTATATACCAAAGCAGATGTAATACTATAATACTGTAAGTGCCCTGCAAAATCTGTTTAATAACATGTAACGATTCACAAAATTAATTATTTGACTTGATACAATACAGTGGCATTTTGATTTGATATATTTTCAACACAGTAAAAATAAGGAGTGGCTGAAAACGTGCCTTAGATTATACAGTAATGTTTCCGTTTTCAGTTTATTAGAGCATTCAACGCTTTTTAAAAAGATGCTGTGCTTTATACTGTCCCAATCTAATGCTGTAGCCACAAGCTGATATTTTAGCCCCAAGCTAACACATTAGCGCAAGCTAACATGCTAGTCACCATGCAATAATACAATATAATATATTAAGCTGCAATACAATGTGATACAATATGCTGCAGTGTTCCATTCCTACTGTTTTTAAATATAAGGCAACATAAAGTACTGGCTTTCCAGACACTGAACGTTTCTAAGTAAACTGATAAACAAATTGTAATTGATGGTGTACCTTCATCCATAACTAGACTTAACCCAGTCATGGAATATCCAGGAAACAGTATTTGACCCAAAAACCTTAACCCCCACTTTGAACAATAACTCACCTATAGCTCTAAAGACAAAGATGAAGATGAGGGTGCATGCGATGAGGCCAGTATCCCAGGCCCATTTGGACTTATCCACAGCCGAGATGCCAAGGAAAATGAAGATGATGGTTTCAGCGATGCTGGCCAGAGTCTTCATTGTGTACTTCACGGTCGTACGGGACTTCTGAGAAATGTTGGCCTCCACATATTTGTTGCAGCCAATTCCGCAGAAGGTCATTCTGTGGTTGCAGACAGCACATTTAGAGCTAGAAAGATGGCATAGCTCAGCCACGGGCACTTATTCAAGTGCACCAGTTAATGGAGGCATAAAACCAAAGTAATAATCTCAGCAGAGAACCTTAATGTCATCTAGACTGGCCCATATAAAATCATGACAGTTCTCCATTAAACTGGCTGAAGCTCAGTAAGACACAAAAAAAGATGTCTCACTTTCAAAGCAAGAATGCACTTATATTTACTCATATCTTTGGACAGCAACAATATATATGTGTGTGTATATATATATATATATATATATATATATATATATATATATATATATATATATATATATATATATATACAGTGAAGCCCGGAATTATTCATACCCCTGGCAAATTTTGACTTAAAGTTATTTTTATTCAACCAGCAATTTTTTATTTTTGACCAGAAATGACACAGGCATCTCCCAGAAGATAATAAGGCAAAGTACAAGAGGCATCACTGTGGAAAAAAATATTCCTCAGCTTTTACTTACATTTGAACAAAAAGTGGCATGTCCAAAATTATTCATACCCTTCTCAATAATTAATAGAAAAGCCTTTATTGTCTATTACAGCAATCAAACGCTTCCTATAATTGCTGAGCAGCTTTTTGCATGTCTCCACTGGTATTTTTGCCCATTCATCTTTAGCGATGAGCTCCAACTCTTTCAGATTGGAGGGTCTCCTTCCCATCACCCTGATCTTTAGCTCCCTCCACAGATTCTCAATTGGATTCAAGTCAGGACTCTGGCTGGGCCACTGCAAAATGTTAATGTTTTTGTCCGCTAACCATTTCTTCACCACTTTTGCTGTCTGTTTTGGGTCGTTGTCGTGCTGAAATGTCCACTGGTGCCCAAGGCCAAGCTTCTCTGCAGACTGCCTGATGTTATTGTTGAGAATCTTGATGTATTGCTCTTTGACTTATATTAAAAGTAAAGTATGTTTTTTCCTTCTCCTATAAAGATATCATTTTGGAGATATGAGGTTTTCTTCCGTCAATGCCAGGGTCAAGTGATAGAGAAAGGAGTTTAACCCCATTTTAACACCAGCATTACCCCACTGGGATTTAAACCAGCATCTTGCTGGCTCCCAGCAAGGAGCTCTTAGTCACTGATTACAGGATGAGTCAGTGACAACACAGTGCTAAATTGCTCAAACAAGCACACAATTACTGGGCAGGGCAAGGCAGCTGTTTGATGTGACTACATCTGGACTATTTTTAACCACCTCACTTAATGCTGAAGTTTATAACTCCAGGTTATAGGCCTGTTTGGACCTTGTCAATAAAGAGTGCCTATATTGCTATGTCACTCCACAGCAGTAGTGCTGTTTACTTTCCATATTATTGTCCTCCATTTACACAGTCCAGGCGTCCGTTAGTCTGTGTAAGTCTGTGTTTAGCATCTCACTCTAAAGTGCTCAGTGAGTCGGGCATAATTCCACATCGAGAACACAACGCAGCTTAACTCATTGTGGCTAAATCTGATTCCGATATCAGATAACATTTCACATCAACGTCCCACTGAGGACACATATTTAAAATATAAATACTCATTCACAGTTTGAGTGTCACACTGCTGGAAAAATATAAATGTATAAAATAGCCATAAGGGGGCACTCAAGACATTTTTGCAATGTGCTCTTTAAAGGAGTTAACAGAAAAGTGTAACTCTGCTAGATATCTGAGCTTTTAAATCACATGTGGATTAAGCTGGCAATGCTTACTCTGGTGAAATCTTTCACCAAAGCTTTACTTCAGGTCTTGTCTTCAACATGCAGATTTATTTGGGATTAATAATGTCATTCCTTCTCCCATAATCTCATTATGTGATTTATTATTGCCAGAGAAAATATGTTTGATGGGGTTTAAGCCAGAATTGAGGATATGGCCTAGGAGCTACTTGACACAGTATAATTATGTTCCAATTTGAAAGTGCAGGTCATAAATCACAATTAATTCATTTAAAAAAAAATCCCCCACATTTATTTCACTCCACATTTTTAAATCATTTGATACACTTGATTGACACACTGTCCACCAGATGATACGGCATGCTTTCTTTGTATTTCTGTAGAACGCTGTTAACCTTTTGACATTTTTTTGGCAAAAGTTACGAATAATGACAGGTCTCATGCATTTTATCCCCTTGTTGTGATGTCAGAACTCATCAGCACTCAAACATTTTAGCTGTTTGAACAGCTTTGTCCAAAGGATTTTCAATATGTGCTTTTAACAACAGCTTGGAAAAAAGAAAAGAAAACAGTCAAATTATTAATTAAGCTATTAGAGTCTAGAGTCTAACACAATTTACATTAATTTGCATTAATTTACATCATTTTTTAAATGAACAAAGTTAATGAAGACATGCTTCCTCAGTACTGCTACTCTATGTCAAACAAATGTCTTACAAACCAGACATAGCTAGGATTGTTGTGCATTTTTCTTGTATTTTATTTTCCCTGGAGCTGCACCTGTTATATTTTGTTGCATTATGTACCAAAAAGTCTAAAATATTTCATATTTAAATGACTATTTTCCCAACCGTACTTCATCTCTTAGAATTAAACAGGCTGTTTTGTAACTGCGTCTTTAAGACTGATATATTTACCTCTGATTGTCTGTCCTGTATTGTGCCTTTTTCAAAAAACAGTATAAGCTGAAACACTTCTTATAACTTCAGCATGAGTGGGCAGGGCTAAACTGCTGTAAACTGAAAAGGTAGATGAATGTAAACAGTGCGTTATGAAACTTTAAGAGTGTTTACACAGTATATTAAACTTTTTAATTTGAAAACAACACAAGGAAAAATTGTTTTTTCATAATATAGGCTGAAAAGCAATATCACAGTATGTCAATAACATGGTAAACCAGAATAGACTACATATCACTCAGCACTACAGGAACACAAAACTGAACCTTGCCGAAGAAACTCAACGTAAACAGCTGTTTTGTGTCTACAAAACCTTTACAGTGATTTTTTTTCTGACTTAATTGAAAAGTTAGTGTGAGACTCAAACATTGCTCAGAAAATTCAAAGAGAAGGCAAGTTGTACCCAAATGTTTGACAGAAAGTGTACTTGTAACCGGACATCTGTATAAGACCACTCCTTATCTGACATCAGATAAGCAAATATTTATATTTTATTTTGTGCAAATAATCTGTATAGTGCAGGTTATTGGCAAATACTCTCCTTGTGTACGGTACTGCGCTGCAGCGTCTGTGGCTCTGTGGCATCTGTGGGCCATGTGTGTGCTATCAAGGCTAATCGTCTGTCTACAGGAGCATTTCATTAAATTCATGTTTCTTTACTGTGAAATCAGACTGAATTAAAGCAACACTGCCCAGGTGCTCCGTGGCTGCATGAAATGAGGTAGCATTAAATTAGCAATTATACGATGCTGTGACTCTGAGGTAAGACAGTAAATATGGAACATCTGTAAAATCCTGAAGTTGTGGCAAAAGAAAAGAAAGATTAAGGTTAAGAAATGAGCTGACTAATATTATGGCCCACTTTCACCAACTCACTTCTATTCTACCCCTCATTCCTGACCTTGTCTCTTTCACTCCCTTTCCCCCTTCATCTGTTTTCTCCTGCTCGTTCTCTCTGTCTCACTGTCTCATAGAAACACTCTGCATTCCTTCATTCACGTCAGACTTCTCAGTCTTTCAGCTGTCAGTCACCACAAGGTTAGTGCTGAGTGTACGCATACGTTCAGTGTCTCCACAGTTCTAACGCTGTTCCTTCTTTCACAGTGTGTGTGAGGGTGTGTGTGTGTGTTCAGAATGAACTCACGAGAGGATGGCAGAGAGAGAGAAGAGCTCAGCGGTCAGGTAAGCCAGATACACCAGCAGAAAGATGAACAGTGGCTCGATGATCCGGACTTTCTTGGTGAAACGTGTGATAAAGGCCAGGATTACAGCGAAGATCAGCCCCACCATCGTCCCTCCAATACTGACGATGAGGAAGGAGGCTGAAAACACAGCACAGAAGCATAACTGAGATGTACCCTCGATAGCACAGAGGCATTTTAAAAGTTTAGCAAAAAATCTAATTTACACAAGTTTTCACTTACTCAAGATGTAGTCAATCAGCCAAGACATGATTGGTGTCCAAACTTTACTCCTTTAATTTAGAGCTGAAGCGACGAGGCTAATAGCACAACTATTTTGTAAAATCTCCACCAAAATTAGTCTCATCCTGCTCTGACCGCATCCCGTAGCTGGTTGCACCAGCTGAATGTAAGTTCTAATGTGAATGTAATGTCTAATGTTCAAGTTTCCAGCTACTAAAATTTAAATGGTTACACCAAATAACATAGTTTCACCCCCTACCAAACATGGCTGTTTGATTTGAGCAATGGGAAAGCTTAACCCCTTTTCACAGGAGCCATTAAATACAAATAAATGCAATGCATAGTTAAACTATACATGTTTTCTTCAGTAATGTTGATGGAATAAATTTCAGTGAAACTGTATAATTTATAATACGAGATGCGCAGAAACTGGATTTTCAACTGCAGAGGTGACCAAGCAAGTCAACATTTTTAGAAGTGTATTTATGGTGTTTAAATATATTTATCATGTTTAAATGCATTTTTTTATTGTGGCAATCGTATGCAATTTTTTTGATAGGTGCGCTGTTCATTTTATGAATTGTTTTCACAGCAGTTTCACACCCCTCTTATTGCTTACTTGCAGCTCAACACAGAGTCACCCGCAAAAAGCCAACAGTGTCCTAGTTAATTTAAAAATAGGTTTATGGGAAAAATATTGTAATTGATTAAATTAACTAAAAATAGCTTGCAGAAAGAATTTAACAAAAACATGAACATTAGTCACCTTACTGTGTCAAGTTCATGGCTGTAGTGAGTAACACCTCTGTCTGTCATGCTTTAGACTGAGGTTTGATCCCCCACCTGGGGAAGCAACCTATACATCACCTATAAGAGTTCTTGGGCAAGACTCCAAACACTACATTTGCCTACCTGTTTAAAACTGATCAATTTGTAAGTCGCTTTTGATAAGAGCATCTGCTAAATTTTGCAAATGTTTTATACTAAAGAAGCAAAATTTGGACTCTAAGCTTCTCTTGATTAAACAACTACATCAAAGGGAAGTGGAAAATTATGTGATTTTTTGCTGAACTGTTCCTTTAAAGGCACTTAAAATACCAAAAATCAATCTGCAGGTTGGATGTTACACATACAAAAACATCAAGGCTACAAGACCTCCTCCATTAAAACATACAACAATAATGCAGTATTATGGTGGCTGCAACCCTGTTGCTACAATGCCTGATTAGATGTGGACAAGGACTTTTCCACCCACAGCTATTTTTCCATTTATTTGGATCTGGGTGACTTGATCCCCAGGTGTTAGGCGATGAAGTCATTCCAGCTAGTGTTCATGCTTCTCACTTAGTGTCATGCCTGGGCCTTTTTGTCATCTCAAGGCAAGGACAAGTTATTGTGGTAGGACAAACATAAATATTGGCTAGAACTGTACAGTCACCTTCCAAACATGTCACTAATCAACAGAAGATCTGTAGATTAGTGACATATGGATGGAAATATGGCCATGTGGCCAAAAAAAATTGGTCATCCTTGTTAGCGTTTATAAACTATTGCATGCAGTAGTCACATTAAAGATACCATGTAGAAGCACGGCCAATTAAGGTTTATTATCTGTTGCTTTATATACTATTGATTCAGTTTCTTCAAAAAGTATTTAATCTAATTGCTATTCATCCTGATATCTTAACAGCTCATTTGACAATTAGTGCACTATACCAGTCATGATACGAAATCCATTAAGCTGGACTTGCACTTGCAAAGCCCCAGCAGGCTTTGCAGAGGAATTGATTCCGATTGCAGACCCACTCTGTGATTTTAAAACCATTTACTTTAACATGATGATGTCTTTACTTATCTTTAAGGACAATGCGTTTTAGATGCCTAAAGTGGTCAGAGCAATTTTCTTATGCCATGATGAGTCAATAAATGAACAGTTATTAAAAAAAAAAGGTCAGTCTAAAATGACACAGTTCACGTTAGTAAGACTTGACTGTCTTTTCCTGAATATAGGAAAGAAAAGAGCATGCTCTCAACTCACCAACTCCTTTAAAATAGTCTGCTGTTTGGACATTTCCAGGGCCCACCTCCACAAAGGAGATGTAAACTTTATACAGCACCTACAGAACAGAGACAGAGGAAGAAACAACATGGAATGTTAATTTCAAAGTGTTTAACATATAAACCCTCTGATTGATTCTCATCACAACAACAGCACATGAACATTACAGGATTCTTTTATCACTTATTTATGATGAGTAAACCTTTGGAAACTGAAGTCTTCTTTACAGTTGGATCCATCACTAGAAAGCAGATGTCTCTGCTTGTATAACAGCATCTGTGCCCTGAATTACAGATGGACAGAAGACTTGACAAGCCCACACACTGACCCCATTAGAAGCAGCAAGAGGAAGTGTAGGAAAGGTGGGAGGATGGCCGAATGAATGTCAAGTCAAGTCAATGTATGGACGGATACGAAAATAAACTAACAGATGAATGGACGGATTGGATGCATGGATGGGTAAATGCGTGAATGGATGAAAAAATGGATGGATGGATGATGGATAGATGGATAGATGTGTAAATGGATGGATGGATGGGTGGATGGGTGGATGAACATATGTCTGGATGGATGAGTAACTAGATGGATGGATGGATGGATGGATGGATGAAAAAACAGATGGATGATGGATGCATGAATGAGTAAGCGGATGGATGAGCACATGGATGTAATGGATGAATGTTTCTATTTGTTTCACATTGTAGATGGACAGGGAAGGTGGGAGGATGGCCGAGTGGATGTATGGATGGATGAGTAAATGGATAGATGAATGGATGGATGGACACATGGATGAGCAAGTGGATAGATGAATGGATAGAATGGATGCATGCGTGTATTTGTATACATTGTCCGTGGTCAAAGTCTGGATGGACTTGACAAGCCCACATGCCAACCCCACCTGAAGCTCAAATAGTGGGAAGGTGGAAGGATGGCCGAATGGACGTATAGATGCATAAATAAGTGGATGGATGGGTGGATGGATGAATAGATGAACAGGTTTATGGCAAAACAACAGCTTGCACTAAACTCCAGACAGACTTTATTGTCTACAACTTTCATAGGATGGATAGATCATGGAACTGTCAGCAGGTTTGGGTCAAAACAACAGCTTGCACTAAACTCTAGTCAGACTGTATTGTCAGCATGTGCAGGTATTCATACAAATACTCTATTTAATGCAGCTCCACACAGACAAGTGGAGTGTTGTAATCTTGATTAGCATGAGAGACAACTGTATCAGAATGAATGGATCATGGAAGAGTGAGCAGGTTTGAGCCAAAACAAAAGCTAGTATTAAACTCTAGACAGACCTTATTATCTGGATCAGGTGTGCTGGCATTCATACAGAGTCTGCATTCATACAGCAGTGGTCCACAAATTAACCACTTTATCCATATCGTAATGCAAATAATAATAGACAAAGAGAAAATTCCAAATCAGACATTCTACACAGCAGACAGACCTGAATAGGAGACTTAATGGACCTCTGTATGCATACACTGGCCAACTAAAATCACAAGCACCCCAGACTTTCTGAGATTCAGTCACACATTAATACTGTTCTGTAAATGAATGGGCTCTGAAGCCATTCTCCTCCTACTAGTACTTGACTAGAAAGAGCTCTTGACTAGAAAATGCTGTTTTGATGCTAAACCTACTGCTCACAGCCATGAAAGCATGTGTTCTATGCTCATCCAACGTAGTCATACTGTCGACACTGATTTGTGGGTTGTTGTGACCTTGATTACTATGAGAAGCTTTGACAAACGACAATATCTTTTCATTTCATTCTAAAGATATCAAGAGGGACCAGTAAACAGCATCTCTGATTTTGCTACTGGGCAGGGTAATATATCCATAATAATCCGGCACCCACTTAATATTCTGGAGATTCTTGCTCAGCAAAGCTACGTGGGAATCTACTAAAGAGGTCAAAAGGTCCCTGACTGTGACTACATTAACCTCGTAACTAGTCTCACAAGTGAAATAGAGGACTCATGCACAAAAGTTGCTTGTGCAACCATTTAGAAAGAGGACCACTATGGAACTTCACAAGAGTTACTCCTGAGCTGACATTTAAATAGAGATTTTTAAGTACTTGAGAAAAGATAATTTTTTTTCCTTTCAGTCTTCCACAGTCATTTACAGTAACCATGTATCATTGAGTGAGAAATGGGGCAGCCTCTTAGGCTGAGAATCCTAGGAGAATGCATGACCTTGGCTTCACCCTCCAACTTCTGCTGCTTTTGCTAAGTCAAACTATCCAAAAACTGAAACAGAGATTACTCTGTGCAACAGCAGAACAAGAAGACACGTACATATGTCTACAACTACTATTACCTGCGGTGACAAACACTGCTATGAATTAGGATCCCAGGACCGTGTTACTTGTATAACTCATAATGTTCTAAATCAGCTTTCAGTAGGGAACGCTGGCAGCGATCCTTGCCGTGGATTCGGACTGGAGTAGTGAAGTAGAGCTGTAAGAGCAGATTAAGATGGGGTAAGGCGGGCAAAGGTCAAGAATGTCAGAGATGGGTTAGAAGTCATTTAGCGTAACCCTCTGCAAAGCCATTTCATGATATGTATCAATGTTATTTTGTAACTGTAATTGTTGATAGTTTTACAGCAGCTGCATTGGTAAACCTTATTTGAAAGGAACACCAGCGGTAAAAGGTTTAGTCTTGCAAGCCAGACTATCATTAGAGAGTCTGGTAGGTTTCATCTCTCAGTGTTGCTGAAAGGGATTTCTGACTGACCACCAGAGACCACTGTTTTCGCCTGATGTGTAGGGACATGCGGTTCTAAAAACGGGCTATTATAAAAACAGACTAAAGCAAAACAAAGTAGTATGCCCTTGCAAACACAAAAGGATATCTTGGTTATTCGCTAACAAATGCTTCAAAGAAAATTCATGAATAACTTGATATAATGGTGTGAACTCCACAAACATTTTTCAAGCCAGTGACTGTATTGTCACACTGCACAGAACAGGCAACTGCTGGAAAACTGCTGGAAAAAGAGGACATGCTGACACTGAACACATTATAACCGGTGCTTGGAAGTGTATCGTGGTGTCAAGACCCAATAAGTTGTGACCAACTTAGTCTACTCTTTACCTTTGTGTGCTTCGTGTACCTTTGTGGACAGAGTGTCTGAGACTAGAAACTAGATAGAAGTCAAATTTATATTCTCATATACAAAACAGTTTTGCTAAAGCATATAAAGATTATACAGCCAGGAAAGCCCAGGTAAAAACGCAAAAATGTTAATGCTAGCACTAGCAATCATCTATTACCAAGGTATTTCCAATCACACCACTTACTGAACTTATTTACTGATCATATGTTATTATTTACTAATTATTTATGGTCAGTTGTTGTTTGAATGAATTCTGCAACAGCAAATAATATTGTTTCCCTTTTCTTCTTAATTATTGTTACATTTGTTTTTATCAAAGTATTTGGCTAAAATATTTATTGTCATTTTTTCCCCATATTGCCCAAATTTACCACTAAAAGAAGAGTACAGTTATACGGAGCCTTTCCATGCTGGATCCTTTATAAAGGCAGAAATTAAGCAGACACTTCTGCTACTAGAGCTGTAGCAACCTTAATGACTCACCACTGAGGGGCACATTTATCTAAGCAAATTATAAGTATTATCTTAGTACAATGTAAATTAATATCGCAGCAAGACAGATGGCCCTACCGCTAGCCACTTTATTGCTTTTTGTACTAGCAAAACAGGTGCATATGTATATTAACTTTATTCCCACTCTATTAAAGCCATCTAATTGTATCTGACTCATCATGTTAATAACAGACGAGTGGTTACATTCATTAGCTGAGAAGTAACAGTAATAGCTACGAAGTCGATATCAGTTTCTTAAATTACAAGTCTGCCTAATAAAGAAGATTTGTTCAAGTAATTTAACAGCACTCCCAGTGTTACTGGATCATTTGCATGTTACAATTTCAGGATCAAATGCAGAACACACTGCCAGCAGTCTGCCACTCAGCAGTAATTGCCACTGAATTAAGAGATTCTTTCGGTCCTAATTCAAAAAGTAGTCATTAAATTGTAATTTGTAGGGCACTATTGAGCTACTATTACCATACAATGCTACATTTTTACTATGTAAATGCTTGTACTGTATGCTCACTTTAAAGGGAAGATGAAAGGCAAATGAGGGCTGCTAATGTCATGACATAACCATGTCAGCAGCAATATAGCAGATCATTTCAGCATCAGGTTGCCATAACGACCAGAGAGCAGACTGTGAGAGTTGAGGGAATACATGGTCAGAAAAAAGAGCATCTTTTCATTCCATCATTTCTGTGATTTCCAACTCCACAGGGGTCTTTACAACTATGTATTTTTACATGAGCATAAAGCACAGCAGGTTAGTATTATCAGAGAACATTACTAGTCACTTTTACAGTTCTAACTCTACATATTCATGATTATTAATCAGGCCAGCAGTCCTGAAACTGTACATGTCCAAATGCCCAAGGTAGCATGGCACATTGTTTAGCTGAGTTCTTCACATATTTGTACTAACATGTCATCATTACAGGCTTCTAACAGTAGTCATCAGTTTTCACTGGCTCATCTAAACTCTGCACAATGACAGGCTCATTTCTTCTCTTTATTCAATATTCACTACTCTATATTCATTAGTCAACTACTCATTCTTTATTCATATTGCTCTTATTGTGTTATTGTTTTGCTATCTAGTGTCGACCAGAGAAGAATGGGTTCCCCTTTCAAATCTTGGTTACTTTCAAAGTTTCTTCCTCTTGCTCTTAGGGAGCTTCTTCCTTGCTAGTCGCCCTTGGCTTTGCCACTTGGGGCCTAGACTTGGATTTCTGTAAAGTTGCCCATTGTAAAAAAAAACTGAAAACATGAAATGTGCTTGAAATGTCTAGGATCATTTTGTATCTTTTGCTCTGAAGCACAATAAAAAAATCATGTTTTATTTGGAAATGAGTATAAAGCTGCATCTTATATTAAGTTTTACAGGCATGGGAAGATGCATAAAGACCTCTGATCAACTACTCTAGCTCTCAGTACGTATATAGTCATAAATGTCGAAGTGAAAAATGCAGTCTTACAATTAAAGCAAAACTGATGCAATCACATAATGTTAATGTCCGGGAAGGTCCATTTTATATTTCATTCAACAAGGGTGTCTAAAAGAATTCAGTGACAGCGAAGTGGCATTACTTTAAAGTTCCTTGACCTCTGCGCTTTCTTTAATGTGTGTATATATTTTGAATCTGGCATAAAAACACAAATGAGCATCCTCATTTGTGGAGCCTTGTGGGAATCGTGTGACGCCACACAGCCGGGTTTTGAGGAGCCTGGCTCCTTCCTATTTCCTCTGTTATATTAAAAACATGACTGCAAAATGCCAGAGGGTGCCCGCGAGCAAGTCCCTATGAAAGGCGGTGAAAGGAGATAAATGGCTAAAAACGCAAAGTTAAAATTGTTTCACTTGCTGAGAACTTTCCTTTAATTTTGGAAAGTAGAAGGATGTATTTCACTAAAAAAGGAAAAAAACTTAACTGTATGTTTTCTTTTTACTACAGCAAACGGATTTTGGGTAGCAGGATGCTAGCATTACCGCTACCGAGTGCCGATTGTAAGCCGAGAAGCTCATTGGCTTGCATTCAATGACGTAATGGACTTACACACATCGCCGTTTTAAACTCCTATAACTGAAGTTCAAAAGTGCTTAATAATATATCAGCTATGTTAAAATGTTTTCTGTGTTCAGGAAATAAACGTATTATTTTACATTAAAAATGTTTAAGCATTTAAAAACGATTTTGTGCAAATGCTCCATCTTAAGCCATTCATTTTGGACTCGCTCAGGAGCGCCCTCTAGTGTTTAAGAAACCCAGAAGACATTACAAAGTGGTAATTCTCCTCTCTACAAGTTCTCTGGTGACTCACCACAGTGACTGCGTCATTCAGGAGTGACTCGCCAAAGACGATGATGAAGAGCATCTCGTTAACGTGGACTTCCTCAAACACAGCGAGCACCGCCACAGGATCCACCGCTGAGATCAGAGCTCCAAACAGCAGGAACTCCATCAGACCTGCCTGTACCTTATCATCTGCACACACAAACATACACATAATCACAGTAATCACAGAGCCACTTTCCATTTTGTATGCTTGTTCAATGGTGATTTTTCACAGTGACTGAAATACACAATCTATCACTCTTAAAAGTAAAGGTGCCAAGTGGAACCGAAAAGAGTTTTTTAAAGCAATGACACAGAAAAGCCATTTTCGATTTCACAAAGGACTCTAAAAGCTTATTTAAAAGAACTTTTGATGGTTCTTCATTGCACCTTTGAAAAAAGTTTAATTTTAGAACCTCTCCTTAAAAAGGCTCTTACAGATCCCTATTTTAAATGTGGACTTATGGCAATTCACCGTTAATACAGAGCCAAAAATTACATTAGCACAGTTTGATCAGAATGACTAAAACCTACAACTTTCCAATGCAGTCAGAGAAGTCAGAGCTCTTTAGAAGCTCCAACTTTCCCAAGTTTGAGAGACTTTCAAATGGATTTTCCCTCTTGTAAATTTCCCAGTTCCAATGTGGTCATGAATGTAGCATAAAGCTATACAGCTCTTCAGATTCAGATATTTATTTAATACCTTTGTTATGACACCAAAACTAAAGCCTAAATGTAAAGGAAATACATTAGAAACCAGTGGTCATTATGATGATGACCAAATTTCGAACCATGTAAGTCAAATGCCAAAAAGTTTAAGACTATACACGTTGGCTAGCTAGCTAGGTCCTAGTTAGCATTTACATAACGTTAACTAGCTTGGTAGCTAACTAGCCAGCTAACTTTAGCGACGTTAGCTGGTTAGCCTAACTTTTATTTTATTGAGACAAACGTTTGCAGAGTGCCATATAATACGTTGGTGGTTTATGACACACACATTTTTTTTACCCATTTTACTCACAGGGCGTGAAAATTCACAAAAACTGACACATCATCATCATGTGAGGTAAAGTAAGAGGGCAAGAAAACTGGAAGACACAGCAACTAGACAGCGACAGAGGAAAGTTTCCTGCTTTCCTTTTTACTCTCCTATGGAAGCCCATTCCTGCCAGGCAGAGGAAAAAATCACCAATTTTTCCTCTCATTCTCTGTTTCTTATTAAATAATAATTTTCTCAAAATTCCAAATATATTCTCCAAATAAATAAATAAATAAATAAATAAAGACTTATTTATTATTTCTTGAGACTCACAGAAATGTTTTCAAAATAGTATCTCTATTAAATAATAATGACAATAATGATAATAATAATAATAATAACAATAATAATAATAATAATAATTAATATATTTTCCAAATAGTATCTCTGAGTAATGATTTACTTTCACAAAATTGTGATTTAAAATAATGGCCTGTTTTCTAATAATTTTAAGTCGTTAACATGACATTTTGACATACTATATCAAAATATGGGTTATGTCTATTTCAAAATACTAAATCAAAATTTTGAGAAAATAAGTTGCAAAGCTGCAAAAATAGCCTGTGTTGAACTGTTTTTGTGAAGTCGCATTTACATGTATCTGTCTATTCAGTCTACAGCCGTTTGGCCCCACCCATTTACACTGATGTTATCAACAATGTGTTTCATCCCAAACTGATTTAACATAATGTAGAATATGGCCTCTTTAAGCCTTCTACATAATATAAAGATCCTACACAAATTAAAGGTTTCCCCACAAGCCAAGAACCATTTTTTTTAAGATTGTAATTGAGTGACAGCCTTATCCTCCTGTCCCACACCATGGTAACTCACCAATGACCCCAGCCAGTTTAACTCCATAGAGGCAGAAGCCTGTACAGAAGGCGTTCCACAGAGTCCCCACCACCGCATACATCAAGATGGCACCCAAGTTGTCGAAGAAGAGACGGGCAGGCATGAAATACCCAGCATCCCCCACAATGGTAGGAAGAAGGAATAGAAAGAAAAGGCCTGGGTCCAGCTGGTAGAGCTGCTTCTTGTTGGCAATGAGGACCACGGCACCCAGGACCAGACCCAACAAGATCAGCACGCAGCTCTCCGGGACCACCGTGGTGAACCGCTGAGAGAAGTGGAACACTAGGAGGAAAAACAAAGAATTGGTCATCCACAGGCCTAACAATACTATGTAACAGTGGTCCAGATGAAATTTCTACAATGGGCACAATCTCATTCTTAACTGTGAGCAAATGGATTTTATCATTAATTTATACTGTCTTTAATATCCTTTTATTTGCCGGGAATTTTCTATGACAATAATCACTGAAAATAACATACATACATTGCTTATCTTTAGAGGCCTACATTTTGACATTTTTTATTGGATACAAAATAAAACTCTGTTGAGGCGGGTCTAATGTGATGGCTTTTACTGAGCCCTATCGGCAGGACCGTCAGGGGGAAAAGAGGAAAGCTTTCAGGGGTCCTGCCACTAGGGTGGCCTCAACAGGCTGAGTGTGTTTTACTTAAAGTTTAACCCTCCTCCAACAGAAAACATTAGGGATGCCCAAATTGATATCAGAGCCAAAGTAGTATACCCAAGGGTTAAACTGGGCCAGAGCACTCTGGAGTGGGGGCATCTTTGGTCCATACGAAAGACAGCCCCCACCAGGGTCATTCATTTTTTGGTGCTTGTATGTCCTCTACTTTTCATTCTGCCCATTTTCACAATCATGCAAGTACATATTAAATCCTTCCTGCTATTTCATGACGTCTTAACTTATTAAATAAATGTGTTCATTATGCTTAAACGTTTATTTGCGGACATTTACACTGGTTAGTCTGTTTGCCTTGCTAGACACAGTTCACCACTGCAGTAGCTAAATCAAACATTTGCTCATGCAGTAATCTTGGTCCATGTAAATTTTACTAAATTTTACAACCTGGCAATATCTAGATGCATAAATCTACTTAAATGCTTACATTAAAGGGAGTTGGCTAACAGTGTTTGCTAAATAATGTTGCTTATCAGCTCCATCAGTTCAATTGGTTAAACTGGTTAGTTAGGTTTGGTGGCAATGCTGGAGTTTACACTAGTTTGAAAAGCAGAATAATTGTATTTAAAATATTAACCCAATATTTGTCAAATTTGATTTTTTTTCATTTAAATGTTTTGATAATTGTAGATGATAAATGCAAATGTAAATTTACGATAAACTAAATTCTGTGGGTGTGACGAGCATATGTCACCTCCACACGGACTGCCACTTTAGAATCGGCTCACCACTGAAGATGCAAATGACAATCATTCTCAAAATGCAGGGGATGAAAAAGATTTCTTATTCCTATCAATTCTCATATCACATTATGAGAGGCAATTTATCAGTAAAACTGAACTGAATGAAAGGAACCAAATTGTGTTTAGAATAAAGGGAAGTTGCAGAGCTGAGATTAAACCTCTAGGGCACCTGGCTGCTGAGCTGCTTGCAGAGGTAAGACACCTGGGAGAGGGAAGGAAGGAAGAAACAGAGACACATGACCGTGCAACCAGGCTGCATTCAGAAAGTCCCTTCCTTTCATGAAGGATCTCTCTTTCTACTGGCTGCAAGGACACACTTTTGTTTCTTCAAGGTTATATTTTAAGACACAAAAAACATTTTTAAAAGATGGGGCATTAATTTTGTGTGAAATTTGTTGTCTGACTTTTTCATGGTAAGATTATAAGGATTTAGAAAGAAGACATTGCCCAGTTTTCTAGCAAACCCTCAAAGTATTTAGAAAGATCTTTTTAATTGCAATCAGCTTCAATTTACAATCTATATTGGTTGCAAATATGAATGTTTATTTTGATTGATTATTTTTTTTTTAATTTTATAAATGTAACATTTTGGGTTTTATTTTATTCAGTACAGATTCCAGCAAACTAGCTTCAGTCTGAAAACCCAGCCTGCAAGTTAAAGGGGAACACAAGTGATGTTTCAAAATCTCTTCGTAATTCAGTGGTTGAGATGTAGACAAAATTAATCAGAATGGTTTGATATGAAATGATTTATTGTAGAGAAACAAATTTCTTTACAGTGGCGGTGACAGGAACAGGTCATGAAGTCTACAATGCAAATATTGCTATTTTATTTACTATGACAAATGACCAGTGAACCTACATGTATATTTGATTCCTATATGCAATGTTTCTAACATTAAAATCTGAAAAAGTTCTTAAGTACTACTTTGCCTTATAACATATGAATATATGTATATACACTATATGGACAAAAGTAATGGGACACCCCTCCTAATTATTGAGTTCAGATGTTTCAGCCATACCCATTGCTAACAGGTGGATAAAATTAAGCACAAAGCCTTACAGTCTCTATAGACAAACACTGGCAGTAGAATGTATCGTGCTGATGAGCTCATTGACTGTGAACATGGCACTGCCACAGGATGCCACCTCTGCCACAAATCAGTTCGTAAAATTTCTGTCCTGCTAGATCTGCCCCTGTCAACTGTAAGCGCTATTATTGTGAAATGGAAGAACCTAGGAGCAACAAAACACTCAGCCACAAAACGGTAGATTACACAAACTGACAGAGTGGGGCCACCGAGTGCTGAAACGCACAGTGCCTATCCTCTGTTGAATCACTCACTAATGGCTTCTAGAGGTCATTAAACTCTTTGGACGTATGGTTCCTATCAACACCACTGTGAACAACTCTGACTCTGTAAGTTTCTCCGGTATGCAGCATTTCACATCAAACCACTCTGACTAACTTTATTTGCATTCTAATGATATAATTATGTACAATATTTTAAATAACCACAAAATTCCCCTTTAACTGCAACAAAAGGAAAAGAAAAGCTCCCTGAGACAGATTAGGGAAGAAAACTTGATACAGGTGATTGGTTACAGTAATCTGAGCCTGCGTCTGTAGCAGAAAGGGGCAGAGAATTGATGTTGATTTTGATTAACGTTTCCAGTAGACTGTAATGTTTTTACAAGTAATATGAGCATGCAGCCAGAAGAACTGAACACAAATTATAAACCAATTTACATGAGTTCTGTACAGCATGAGTAATTGTGCTTACTGAATAAAAGCCTTTATGGCAGTTGAGGCTGCTGGAGGGACAGCATATGAGGAGCCATAACCAGAACATCAGCAGATAAATAAGGATGAACACGATAGCAGCTCAATATATTGTTGGTTAATCATTAACAACAGCACGATATGGCCACTTATCCATAATGAACACTAATAAATTATAGAACTTGCTGGTGCGTGAGCAACCGACGCATCTCACGTTTCAGATGAGTGTTCGGTGAATGTTCTACCGAATCACACAGGCACATGGTCTGACAAATGTATGCTAATTTTTTTACAAAAATATGCCAGCCACACAGCACGACAATATCAAGCATTGTTTCTGGCATACTGTGGCTGCATTATGTCATAATTTAGGCACAGAATGATCTGTATTCACCTCAATAATCCATAATGAAGATAAGTTCATGCATCTATTTCATTTATCAGTCATCCAGACACACCTTCGACTTTCTAGCCTTTCTAGCATCCATGTGTAATTCTGTTTATGCAGTTTTTATCACTTAATTGCCTTGTAATCACACTTTTAGCATGCTTCTGAATTTCAATATCAATATCAGTGACTAACACCCGCTCCATCCACTGGAACGTGCTTCAAAACCAGCACAAATACAGAGATGGTATCAGACGGCCTGTGTACTGACGGATTGAAGATGAGACTACGCTGAGGTCAACACAGTTTAATCTCCATGTTATTAAATTACTTCCATGGTAAAGGTTCTGCTGCAGTGTCTCAAAGACCTGCACAATCTCACTCGCTCTCCCACAGACATCCTTACACTGCAGATATTTCAGAAGGGAAAAGAGTGTGTAGCATGTGACTCAACAGGTCCATGCATGAGACAGCCAGACTTCATTTAACACAATGTGCAGATTCCATTCAGGCCTGCTTGTCACTCACGTCATTTAAAGTGAGTGTGAATGGTATGGGAAATGCATAACTGCAAGGTGGTCATGTAGCCACACACAGAAGAAAATGTAGTTTATTTTGTTTTATTAACAGGCCACAATCATGGATTTGTTTAGAATAAAAGAGGCTGATATACTCAGGAGGATAAACGGTTTAGATGAAGAGTGAGTGAGTGAGTGAGAGGTTGATATATATGTAAAAGGGTTGGAACAATGCATTGTGATGTGATATGACGTTGTAAAACTGTGACAATGAGCACTGTGTTAAATGAACATTGTATTTATTCTGGATTCTAACACAATTAAATTGTTTGCCCATTTAGCTACTTTAAGCCGCACCCATTGACAATGTGTTCAACTGCACACACAAGGTATAATCTCCATAAAAAGCATGGCTAATAGAATGGAGGAGCAGCTACACATGAGCCAAAGATCACCATGCCCAATGCCAAGCGTCGACTAGAGGTGTTTAAAGCCTTATTTAGGCTGTGGAGCAGTGGAATTACAGGGTGAGAATATTTAGCACCTTAAATGGCCAGAATCAGTTAGAGGGTTCAAACCTTTATTTACACTCCTAGGAATTAAGCATAACTCAGTTTGTACTGTAGCTCACAAAGTTGCTGTTAATAAAATAAGCCCTGGGATGTGATAGACCTCAGAAGTCATAGTCAACATGCCCATATTAGGAACACTGGGTCTAGGCTATTTTTCTCTAAGAGAAAAAATAATGCTATTTTTGAGAAAAACTCTGCTATCGCGCCATCAGGTTAACTAAATATTACAAAGCCGATACTTTTTGCCCTAGGGACATTTTTTCTAAATGTCACAGGATCCTCTGAACATAAGTCATTCAGAAAGTCCCTCGCTTTCATGACAAATCTCTCTTTGTACTGGCTGCAAGGACACACTTCTGTTTATTTAAGGTTATATTTTAGGACACAAAAAAACACTTAAAAAGATATTCCACAAATTTTGTGTGAAACTTGTCAGACTTTTTTACAGTAGGATTAGATGGACTTAAAAATAAGAAACTGCCCAATTTTTGTATCTTAAAGTATCTTGAATTATCTCCATTTGAACAGAAACTGCCTTTGACCCATTAAAATCCCAGACTTATACATATTAAGTCTT